AAAATTCTTTAATTTTATTATATTTTAAATTTTTTAATATTAAAAAATTAATAAAAAAATTATTAAGTAGACCCAATATGAAGATAGTTTATATAAAAAAAATTTCTCTTCAAAAAATATATATAGGAATAAAACCTTAAGGATTAAAAATTATGTTAGAAAAAATGAAAATAAAAATATTTGTTTATTTTTTATTATAATATTAATGTATAAAAATAAATAATTTTATTAAAACTTTTAAAAAATTTTAGAAAAAAAAAGGGGGGTTTTTTTGGGACCAAACTCCCCCTTAAAGAATCCTGGGCAAAGATAGCAAGAAAAGAACGAGCAGTTAATAACAGATGCTGCTCTCGAATCAGCAAAGTCCGAAAACAAATTTTGAGTCATCTTTTTTACATTTTAATTTCTCTGGTGATGTGCTTAGCTATTGTGGGTAATCATTAGACAATGTTATTAGCAGAGAAGATATATTCTTTTGGTGAATAAAAGTTCGGACTGCAAAATTAATATTAATAGCAACTTTTATAAATGAAAAAAAATTACAACATCTTAATATTTTAATATCAATATATTTAATCATAATTATTAAATATATAAAATACATTCCACCAAAAAAATATATATATATTATAGGTTTTATTTTTATTAAATGTATCATGTAATTATTATTAAACATCTTAATGTTTTTAATATGTTTTTAATTTTTTTTTCTTAAAATATATAAGTATCATATATGGTTAGATTTTTTTTTTTTGATATATTAAAGAGATAAATACTTGATATATATATATATATAACATAAGTTTAAATCTTAATCTTGACTGCCAATCAAGATTTCTCAATTAGTTAACATTATATTCGCCGAGCTCCTGCTATCATATGATTGGATTATCAAGTAAAATACTAGAAATATTATAATATATAAAATCCAAATTCTAACATCACAAATTAGATGAAGACCTAAAATCATATTAGTCTCTCACATAAAGTTTTAAATAATATCTATATAAAAATGAAATCTCCTTTATAATAACTTAATTATCAACCACAGCACTATAACTGTAAAAAATGTCAGAGTAACAATATTGTAACTTTCATACTCATAATCCTGCAAAAGCAAATAGGAATTTATAATTACCCAAAGTAAGTGATTTCAAAAGAATAAATGCCATGTATTACTTACAATTATTGTAATTGCTCTTGTTTATGAGAAATTCTAGAATATAATTCTTTTTTAAAATAAGATGATTTGAAAAAATAGGAAATAGGAGTTGTCAAATTTGAAACCACAGCCTATAACAAATGATTTTCATTAAATTAAAGGTCTTAAAGACCTTAATCATTAAGTTAGGACATAAAGGAACAGCCGTTCTGGTCCAGTAGTATTAGTTCCTAAGTTAGAACTGTTTACTTTCAATGGGTTGCACGTTCAAACCTCACGAAATCTTTTTTTTTTTCTTCTTCAATTAACCTGTAAATAATTACAAATTGTTCAAAAAAAAAAAAAAGGTTAGAACATAAAGATCATCTAAAATATAACGGGAATACCACTCAGATGTTATTCCCGTCTAATAAAAATATAACAATTCAACTTAATACACATTATTAAGATGTAACAGGAGATGAAGACCAAACCTTCGTCAACATTAAACGGTGATAAGTCGTCCGTGTGTGAAAAATTCATTTTCAATAAAATTTTTCTTCTCGCCCTCCCCGCCTTTTTCAATTTATTTTCTTTCTTCTTTTTTTTTTTTTTTTGCCATTATTTTCCTTCCCTTTACTCCTCTGCTTTTAAATTTGTTTGTATTATAAAATTCAAATAATGAGCTAGTAATTCTTTCACTTCTTCCTCGCTTAACAATCAATTCTAAATTTAATCATTTGATCGTTTTTTGTTGTGAAAATTCCCTTTTTGAGCATTAGGCATTCTATTTAATTATCTATTACTCTCTTTCATCTTAAAATAATAGATATATTTATTTATTTATTTGTTATTTTTTTTAAAGTAATATAAGTAAAAATAAAAATTATCTCTAAATTTTTTATTTGAACATAAAATTAAATTGTAACTATTATTCTACAATAGAAGGAGTATTGTTTTTATGAGTTTATGGAACGAAATTTTTGAACTAAATATATGTTAATTTTGGTTGTAAGGTAGATTTGATTATGTGGTTACAACATTTTCTGCTGGGATGCTTATTCTTCACTTGAAATTTTTATAAAACCTATTCTTTTTTAATTATGTGGTAGTCTGCTAGTCTAACATCCCCACCTCGATCACAAAAGAGAGGAAAACCAAATTATCATGATCCTCGCACTAACTTTTTGCACTTAACAAGATTTAGTAAAGATGTTTGCATTAATTAGTTTCTGTTATTTGAAGCAAAAGTTGTCTAATTGATTATAATTTGGAGTGACGAATGAAAGAAATGCACATAGAGTAATAATAATTCATGATATAGGATCAAACAAGATGAAGTTTTATTAATTAGAAAACTTTGTGCAAACCTTAATTTATGACAAATGAGAGGCAGCAAATTTGATGGACTTCAGCAAATTGCATCAAACTTCCCAAGTCCCAAACCTTTATCTATGACCTTGCAGAAGAAAGCATTAAGCATGATTAAATAATAAATGAATGGATAAATTAAAAATGAAATTAGCATATACAATAACATCAATATGCAAGACAACTTGTTCTGATTGATGTCAGCCTCAACAATCCGTGAAATAATTAAATCAATCCCCTGGTTTTTTTCATCTATATATACTTGGAAATGTATAAGCAAGTTATATTCTTATTCAATAGTGAGAGCTAGAGCAGCAAATAGGATGTTTTATAACTAGGATTTACACCACTGATTTGATGGTTTATAGAAGAACAACTTGTCAGTATAAGAAAACTTTCTGCTGGAAAGAAATAGATCATACCAATGACTTAATTTCAGTGAAAACAAACATACCTTTTATCCTAAGTCATAGAAAGAAATGAAGTACTTGTTTCATTTTGTTCCTGCTTTTTTTTGTTTTTGTTTTTATTTATTTATTTAAAATTTCACAGTCATGTTTTTATCTTGTGTGGTTAGAATAACAAAAAGGTTCTAGGACTGAAGGGTAGGCGTTCTCTATATCTTTTCTTAGGTTGTGTGTGTGGCGGGTAACAAGGACTATTTAAGCCTTGGATTTCAATCTTCACCAAAAAAAAAAAAAAAAAAAGAAAGAAAGAAAGAAGGAAGAAGAAGAAGAAGAAGATTGATACTGTTTCTGGAACTGAAAACAAAAGTCTTATCTTTTGGCATATTCCACTTTAAAGATTGAAGTGTATGCATATTACATTGGTTAAATACCCAATTTGGTCCTTTAACTTTTATTTTTGAACTGAATCTACCCCCAAACTTCAAAAAGCATCAATACTATCCCTGAACTTCAATTTTTGGGACAATTTGATCCTTCCATCGACTAAAGTGCTAGATGGCACATTAAGTTGCTAGAAAATTACACCTTTCTTTAAAAACTAATGATGTGGAAAAAAAATAATGTAGCATTTTTTTTTCTTTTTACATGTTATTTTAACCAAATAATTATCTTTAATTTTAATACTCACCATTTTACTATGTATATTTTAATATTATAAACCCTAAATCTAATCTCCAACTCCAAGCCATCACACCCTTAACCCTCAATCACTACTGACTTGTCCTTCCTCAATAGCGACAATGAGGACTACAATAATGACAACAACGACATGGTTCTCTTCCTCCCTCCTTTTTCCTTTCTTTCTCTTTCTCCTTTCTCCCACTACTTTTTTTTTTAACAACTTTCTCCTCTTCCCTACTCACCCTTCTCTCTCTAGACCCCTTCATCTTCAGATTTCCAGATCCACTGACTTCCTAAGGAGGGTTCACTTTTCTTCTTCTTCCTCCTTTTCCCTCTACCCTGATCTATTGAACAAAAGAGTCAAGATCTTGGTTCTCTTAAAAAACCTGTGGATTCCTCATCCAATTTAAGAAAGGAGAAGGATGGGGAGGAGAGGAAAGGAAAAAGAAGGAGGAAGAAGATGATGAATTCTTAAGTTTGTGGTTAGAATTTTTACCATTTAATATATGGCTTATGTTTGATTAGGTGACCTTTTTTTGGGCAAAAAATATAGTTTCATTATGTGACTTTAGGAATTGGTTATACAAGAGTAATAGATTTTGAGGAAAATAATATCAGTATTGGGAACAACATTTGATGGGAATCAAGACGACAGCATATCTACTACGTCATGTAATCCATTACACACCCAAGGAGGTCCAGTCACGCGAGCTAGAGCTAAGAAGATGCGTGAAGCTTTAAATGGTCTTATTGAGCAGATTTGAGTTGAAAACAACATATAACAAGCAAATCAAAGCTTGGATGATTATCAAGGCATGGTAAACATCATTCAGGTTCAAGAGAAACTTAGTTGAGGTCATTTGCACGGAATTACACAGTTTGCGTCAAAATCGCACAATTTTGCCGCAATTTGTAGCAAACTGATATTTCGTGTTATTTTAGGTTATTTTTAGTGATTTTCACGTTTTTTGTATATTTTTGGGCTGAACATTCTCTTATTTGAAGCCCAATTCATGGTTATTAGGTTTAGGACTTAGGGTGTTAATTTCCTATTCTGATTAGGATTTGTTTTCTCTATTTAAAAGGCTTGTAACCCTAATGGGGAGGAGGGTATTGAATCTGAGTGTTTGAGAGACTTTTCTCTTTGGTTCGTTTTAGAACTTTACAATGCTTATCAAGATTATTCTTGTGGCGTTCTAACCTGACTTATCATTCTCGTTCTTAATCGTTCGAGGGTATGGCGTCAACCAACTTTATACCTCTGGTTCTTGTTGCGTCATAGACAACGGGTCAAGGTTTTTACCTTTGGTTCTTGTTGCAACATAAACAACGGGTCAAGGTCCTATTATAAACCTGATTTAGCTTTCATGGAGTTTAGAAATCCCTTGTCGTGTTGTGGGTCTCATTGTTCTCTTTGGGGTTCTCATCAACATTTGCATATTTGATGGATGAGTAAGGTTAGGATTTGCAAAGCTAGGAGAAAAAAATATTTTTGGTACTTTTTCAATTTTTTTTCCCACAAATTTGCAGTTCCCCAAACAAATGAAAAAAGCAAGGTTCCACTTCCAAAAGATTAAATTTGACTTATACTTGTAAGAATATTGATTTGAAGAGACAAAAAGTCAGTGCTTGCCTCAACAAATAACTCCAAAATTTTGCTTCAGATTTGTGGGTATATGCAAATGAATGGTAAAATCTTTCATCAAGTAAGTATGCCCAGCAATTTTCCAACAAAATTTCAAATTTCCATGAAAATTAGCAAAATACAAGAACGGGTATGGGAGATGACAAATGAAACAAAGATGAAGAATTGAAGAAAGGTTGAAGGAGATCAAAAAAGTGAGTAGAATTAGTGAGGTTGAAGATAAGGGTATTTTGGTAACCTTAATAAATATTAAAATAATAACATATATTATAATAACATGCTAAATAGGGATAATTATATAGTTTTAAGAATAAAATGCCAACTCATCACTTCTCACACGTGTTTTTTCCACATCATTAGTTGAAAAAAGAAAAGATTGATTTCGTGGCAACTTATTGTGCCATCTGATAGTTTCATTGATAGAAGGACTAAATTGGTCCAAAAGTTGAAGTTCAAGGATAATATTGGTACTTTTTGAAGTTTAGGGTTAGATTTGATTTTAAAATAAAAGCTAAGGGACCAAATTAGGTACTTAACCTATTACATTGTTAATAGATCACTTGCTTCCTTATTAAGTAGTATAAGAAATCTTAATTGACACTTCATAGTGAATCTATATTTTGTTTTAAGTTCTAACCAATCAATTGAAAAGAATGGTGATGGTTAATGAAATGAATCCTTCATATCAACTAACCTGGAAATTGTCAACAACGCAATGGACTGATAGGATATATTAAATCAACATTGTTTAAAGACTTGTAATAACAAACTAGATCTATTATTTGTATGTGGAGCTTAATTAAATTGACATTTTGCTCAAAATTTTTTTTTTCCAATCTAGTAACCATCATTATGATTTTACCTAGTTGAATTCTTTAAGTTGGATGATGGTATTCAGTTGAATGGTAGTGTAAGGTCGGCCGTGTGAAATTGATTTTTTCCTCCTGTTTTCCTTTTCTTCAATGCTAGGAATCCTCCTCCATGATTCTTGGCCTTCTCCTACCATAAACAAATAGTGGGTTCTCCACGTTTGAGACAAATTTCCTTTGTCTGGTAGCTGACAGTTTTAATCTAATTTTAATTCTAATAAAACCCTAATAGTAACCTTCTCCTAAAAACCCTCAACTTCCTAATTTAAATAAGATTCAACCACTAAATAATTCACCTTATCATCTACCACATAAGTCTAGCCCACCATAAATTCCATCTACGCTATTAATCTTCAAGCTGGCCTAACCTAACCCAGCCTATTAATTCTCCTTAATAGTTGGGCTTCAAGCTGACACGTAACCTCATCCCATTAGTTTTATTTTTAGGTGTAAATAGTTAGTTTTAGGTTTATGTTGTCTGTCAAAGTTATTAGCTACTGCTAAAAGGAAGTTAAGGAGTTGTAAATCTTTGTGTGGATAGATGATAATTAGTGTAATGGTAATTTTAAGTTCCCATTTCCAAGTTCTATTCTATATTGTGGGTGCAAACTCTAGGGATCTACAAATCTTTCCATGCATAGAAGCTTATTTTCATGTCCCTGCTAAGTGTAAAACATTTGTTGTCTATTCCCCAAATAATGCATAATTCTTGCATGTCTTTAAGATGGTTTGATTTGTATGAATGCAGTTGAAAGAAAGGGCAAAGAAGCTTGAAAATTAGAGCATGAAAATTTGAATATAAGAAGAGAAGAATAAAGATAAGAAGGAACTCTTGCGTAGAAAAAGTTCCCTGTGGATTGATGAAGGAGGTGAATTATATAAAAAGATCTTGGAAGCCCTAGTTGACACTACTTCCTTCTAACTTCCTTTCACCACACAAATTCTTGCTTTTTTTGTTGCCTCACCTGTAGAAAATGAAGTTTGAACTTTGAAAATAATGTCCCAAGGGAATACATCATCATAGTTGTCTCATTTGTCTGTTTCTATCTAAGTTACTTTTAGAATACAATAAACTAGTTCTTTCAATATAGAAAGGGTAAGCTACTTTATAAAATGTATTTTTAATTTGTTATCAGTATTTAAAACGATTATGTAGTTTTGTTTTCATTTGATCATCAGGGATTATTCAAATTATATATAAAAAAAAAAGAGTCTTTCGTTTTGCAAATTATACCAAATTGTAAAATTTAAGTTATTGAAAGAAAAAGATTTCTAATATCCATGAACTTATCAACTACTCCAAATCCTTAAAAACTAACCAAAGTTGTAATCTTTGAGGGAAAATACAAATGAGGAAGGAAAAACATAAACTAAAGCTATGAATAAGAACAAATCTTGCACTTCGATCTAGAAATTATGTTGAAATCTAGAAAAAGCAATCTAGAAATTCGAAAATCATACGCGCTAGGTGGTTTTCTATAGGGCAAACGGTGTGAAACTAATTTTTTCCTCCTATTTTCCTTTTCTTCAATGTTGGGAGCCCTCCTCCATGATTCTCGGCCTTTTCCCACCATAAACAGATAGTGGGTGCTCCACGTCCGAGACAGTTCTCTTTTGTCTAGCAACTAACAATTTTAATTCTAATAAAACCCTAATAGTAACCTTTTCCTAAAAACCCTCAACTTCCTAATTTAAATCAAATTCAACCACTAAATAATTCACCTTATCATCTGCCACATAAGTTCAACCCACCATAAATTCCGTTCGGGCTATTAATCTTCAAGCTGGTCCAACCCAACTTAGCCTATTGATTCTCTTTAATAACTGGGCCTCAACTTGACATGTGGCCTCATCCCATTAGTTTTATTTTTAGGTGTAAATAGATAGTTTTAAGTTTATGTTGTCTATCAAAGTTATTAGCTATTGCTAAAAGGACAGTTAGGGAGTTGTAGATCTTTGCATGGATAGATGATACTTAGTGCAATGGTAATTTTAAGTTCCCATCTCCAAGTTCTTTCCTATATTGTGGCGGCAAATGCTAGAGATCTACAAATCTTTCCATGCCTAGAAGCTTATTTTCATGTCCTTGTTAAGTGTAAAGCATCTGTTGCCTGTTCCCCAAATAATGCATAATTCTTGCATATCCTTAAAATGGTTTAATTTGTATGAATGCAGTTGAAAGAAAGGGTAGAGAAGCTTGAAAATTGGACCATGAAAGCTCGCATACAAGAAGAGAAGAATAAAGATAAAAAGGAACTCTTGTGTAGATAAAGTTAACTATGGATCGATGAAGGGGGTGAATTAGATAAAAAAAATCTTGGAAGTCCTAGTTGACACTACTCCCCTCTAACTTCCTTTCACCACACAAATTCTTACTTTTTCTGGTGCCTCACTTGTAGAAAATGAAGTTTGAACTTTGAATATAATGTCCCAAGGGAATACATCATCATAGTTGTCTCATTAATCAGTTTCTGTTTGAATTATTTTTAGAAGACAATAAACTAATTCTTTCATTTTAGAAAGGGTAAGTTACTTTATAAAATGCATTTTTAATTTGTTATCAGTATTTAAAATGATTATGTGGTTTTGTTTTCATTTGATCATAAGGGATTATTTAATGTATAAGGAAGAAGGGTCTTTTGTTTTACAAATTATACTGAATTGAAAATTTTGAGTTATTGAATGAAAAAGATTTCTAAAACAATGAATTTATCGGTCGTTTAATACTAAGTATTGTATAATTCAGTGCAATGCAGATTATATAACACGCTTTATAAAAAAAATTATAAATTTCAATACTTCTGCCAAAAAGAAATTAAGAATTTTAAAAAATATATGTGGAAAATTTTTTTACTCCTTTTGCAGAACAAAAAACCCATTCCCTTCTAATCGGGCCGGGTTCAAAAATACTATAATTTGGATCTTCCTCTTCAATCTTATCCATGTGGCCCAATCAGATGGTGGAAGATTTACATCAACAATGGAAAGGAAAGAGAAATTTAATTTGAAGTTACAGAAAACACCCTCATTCTGTGCGTTATTACCCATTCCGTTGTCATCAGAAAAATCATCCAAACACCGACGGCCCCCGCCACCCTCCCTCATAGTCAGAAGCAAATCAAACTTATTCTTCTCTCAGACTCTCACACTCGCTCACGGAACGTTCACATCCATGGCGGCAATCCGATTGGCGCCGGAAGAATCCTCCGACCTCGTTCAGCACCAGCAGCAGCAGCCGCCGCAGCCGCAACAGCACGGTGGTAGAGAAGTCGCGTCGGACGACGAGCGATCAGTGGCGGCGGACTCTTGGTCGATAAAGAGCGAATATGGCAGCACTCTCGACGACGATCAGCGGCACGCGGATGCTGCCGAGGCTCTCTCCTCAGCCGCCAACTTCCGCGCGGCCTCTGACTATAGGTTTCTATTTAACTCTGAGTCTTTTTTTTAATGCTTAGGGTTTTGTTCTGTAGGATTTGAAATCAGAGATCAATTTACCTGACTGGATCAGTTACTAAAACTATAGGAACAGTTCTTTTTTTTTTTTATCTGATTATTTCTATAATTATGGAAACTTTGATGCGGCAATTGGATGGAGGTTTAGCTATAGGTACATTAGTAAGATTGATGTTGGAGTGACCAATGTTTAGGATCCTTATTGCTCCTGGCAATGGTAGCAGAATAGGTGAGAAAAATCACTCTGAATCTTGTCATAATGGTTACTAAATTTGAGTATCTACTATCTAATTATCTGGTTTTATGCACTAAACTTTTTTGTTTTGATAATAAATTTGATTGATTTCTGTTTTCCTGGATTAAGAAAAGATTTATTGTGCTTAGCTTCAATTAGTAGAACAGCTTTAGACATAGTTGGCTCTTCCATTGCTGGAAGGAGCTGATATTCTGTGATTTTATCATTGCTTGTCTGTTTCTTATTTTTTGTCTGAACGGCTCGAACTTCTTGTCAGACTGAGTGTGACAAGTGTGAGTGTATGTTGCGATATTCACAGCTTCTTTGGCTGTGCAGCTCTGACAAGGATGATTCAGACAACGAAGCAATGGCATCAATGCTTGGCCTTCAGAGTTATTGGGATGCAGCATACGCAGATGAGCTGGCTAATTTTCGTGAACATGGGCACACTGGTGAAATTTGGTAGTCTTTTTTTTTTATTGTTATTTTGCTGGTTTAAGAACAATCATGCCAAATGGTTTCTTTTGATTTTATTTACTAGTACATTGCAGCCTGGAGGAATGACATAACTTAATATCAATATAGTTTAGTCATAATTTGCCCCTCTGAGTGATTTTTAGTGGTGTATTCATAACTTGTGATTTCTTTCTCATGGTAGTTGGAGCACCATCAAGCCTTTATTTGTTTGTTTCTAGGATTGACTTTGTTTTGATAAGTGCTACCAAATACCAGTTTACTGATAGAAAATCTTGCCATTAAGAAAGAGAAGAAGATTGAAAACTAGACTCTTACCCTCTGTTTGGTTTGAGGGAAACAGAGGGAAGCGGAGGGAAGGGAAATGGAAGGATCCAAAAAGGGAAATTTCTCCCTCTCCCCTTCCCTCCCCTCCCTCCCTTCAAACCAAACAAGCTATTAGAACTTTCTGTAGATTCTAAGTATGTTCTAGATCTTGACTTCGAATTTATATATTCCTTAATAGGTTTGGGGCTGATGTCATGGATGTGGTTGCTTCTTGGACTAAAAGCTTGTGCATTGAAATCAGTCAAGATCATATCCCAAATCATGTTGATGAGACAAAGCCTGGGCCCACTGAGCAGGATGATAAATATTTGTCTTGGAGTGTACTTGACATTGGCACTGGCAATGGCCTGCTTCTTCAGGAACTTGCTAAGTACCGGTACATTTTGAGATTTTGGTTATAGTTATGGTATCATGTGCTATTATTAATTTGAGATAAGAAAAGAAAAAAAAAAAGCTGGTCGTATCTCATACTAGAAATATATGTTAACTTGCATTAGTTTTATTGTCTCATCTTTAATTTTTTTTGGAACCATAATATATTTGCTCTGTGTGATCAATTGGTAGTCTTTGTTCAGGTTCTCAGATTTAACTGGAACTGATTACAGTGAAGGGGCAATTGACCTTGCTAGAAGCCTTGCTGATCGTGATGGACTTTCTAATATTAAATTTTTGGTATGAACAGAATTTTGAGAATGCCAACTTAAAGTAATTATAACTGGCTTACTGACAATTCTGTGCACAATTGATATGTGTGTGTATTCTTCTGTATCATTGTTGTTTTTATTTTCCTTTTAATGATAGCCTTCCTTGTGAAATGGATTTTATTCTGTTAGATTTACAAAAGTACTGTCTTGGATGTTAGTGTTTACTATGTCAGTCTTAAGAATTTCGGTGACATTTTGTTCAAAACTTTGGTAAAACATGCTTTTTAGTTTAAAAATTGTGATAACTGGTAAGCAAGGAGAACAAAAGGCTGCATATCAAAACTCGGAGCCTTGAAAGGCCTTTTGAACCTAGAATTTTATTTCTTAGGGAAGCTGGGTTTTGCTAAGATCCATGTTGTGATTAAATGAGGAGGTGCAGTTAAAACCTTTGGTGCTGAAAATCCCAAATATTGTCTAATAAGTGTCTACCAAGTTCCAAAATAAGGGAGGTTCAGAATCCCTATGGGAACAGAGTTGCAGCCCTCTATAGAGAAAACCAGCACCTACCCTTCACTCTTCTCATAAGAAAGACCAACCACCTCTTTATCACCTTTGGGTTCAGTTGCCTGTATATCCCACTTCATCATCTGTTTCAGCAGAGCCATCTCCACTTCTTAACTCACTTAAAAGGATTATTGAAGGAATTCAGTGAAGTAGTCAGCCTGCAACTTTATAGAAGAGGCAATCTCCCATCTATTGATCCGAAAAGCAACATACATGGGGGCAGCAACTGACTACAATCATATGCATATAATTTTTTTTCATCAGCTCATATGCGTTGTTTACATTGGCTAGATCTTGCTAGACAACTGGATTGTTACACATGTAATATACCTAAACCTACTTGATCTTAGTAGTTGATTTCCTAATATTTCCTATAATCTCAGTATTTTTTATAACATTATGAAAATTGTTGCTTCCCTTTGTTTTCAGGTTGATGATGTTCTGGAGACAAAGTTGGAAAGAAAGTTTCAACTTGTAATGGATAAGGGGACTCTAGATGCCATTGGATTGCATCCTGATGGCACAGTGAAAAGGTATAGTAAGATCATCTTCACTGCTATTAGATTTTCGTTATTCAGCCCATTTTTGGTTATGACTCATATTACCTGATAACAATCTGAAAATCTTGGTCCTTCCATTTCAGACTTATATATAGAAGTGCATATTTAACCTATGAAAGTAGTTTATTTGGTTGAAGGTGTTTCAGTTACTGACTAAGTGAAAGTTGTTATAAATCTTCTTCATGCCACCTCAGAAAACATTTGAAAATCACATTGACTGTGGCTTTTTTAGGATCATGTATTGGGATTCAGTTGCAAAGTTGGTGGCTTCTGGTGGACTATTGGTAAGCATCTTACTGAGTCCAGTTTCTCTTTTCTTTTCTTTTTTTCCCTTCATTTTTTTCTTTTAGAGTAAAAGATAAATGTAGAAGGATCCCACTCAAATTGTGTAAAGTGAAATGCTTCATACCATAAACAGGCATAAACTTTCTGATTTTGCACCGTCTTAAGCTGATCCTAACTCGGTGTATAATCACCCTAGAAAAACCCTTATATTTTTCTTCATTTCTTGATTCTTTGTGTAGGTTATCACTTCGTGCAATAGTACAAAGGATGAACTAGTGCAAGAAGTGGAAAATTTCAATCAAAGATGGATTGAAATGACTGAGGATCCCAACACACCTAAGGACCAAGAAACCTGCACAGAGCCTCCATTTCAATATCTCAATCACGTTCGGACATATCCAACATTCATGTTCGGTGGATCTGTGGGATCACGTGTTGCAACCGTCGCATTTCTCCGGAATTGAAATCAGTTAGTTCTTTATTGGGGGTTCGATTATTCTTGGTTTACTGTGGTTTAGGATTGCTCATCTGCTTCAGTAAGAAATCATGGCAAGAGTTGTTAACGTGTTTGAAAATTATTTTTTGAAATTCTGTATTCCTCTCATGATATTTATTTGTGTTTTTGTGCATTAAAAGTTTTGGTTAACAAGATTATCTGGTATAGTCATCCATTCTTATGGAGGAACGTCATTTGTCAGGTTTTTTAGGGTATGTTTGATTTGAGGGAAAACAGAGTAGAGGAAGAGGGAAGGATGTCGAGCCCTCCCATTCCCTTCCCCTCTATTCTATCTCCCTCAAACTAAACAAACAGTGGATGCTACTTGCCACATGAGCAGTTTGTGCTGCTTATTTGTTACCATATGGTGGTATTGGCCTCTGGAATCTGGAGGCTGCTAGTAAGGGTAGCAGTTTTTGTTTAATTGGTGCACCATGGGTAAAGGTTGGATGCTGATCTCTTAATGCAGTGTAAGTTTTTATGTTCAATCAATCTTTTAATGCAGTTTGAACTTTGAAGCCTTTAGCAACTCATTGGCTCAATTTAAGATATTAAGTTCCAAGATGTCTTTTGGTATTAGCCGGAAATCGAATTAATTTGTTTATGAATTAACGTAGGAGTTACGAAGGGGAGTGATCAATAACTCAATTGAGTTTCTTATTTCAAGT